ATTAAAGGAGCTGGAAAGGCATACAGCACTTTGCTCTGATCCTTTCATTGGAAGAACAGCAGAAGCTGAATCAGCAAAGCCTTTTCAAAGCCTACCAATCCCTCTTATCATAAACAATCACTTCTCAAGTCATCTGAATGGGACAGAGAAAAATATATAAGATGATATGACTCTTTCTTCACCCTGTTACTGGACTGAAGATGATTTTTTCCAGTTATTTGAATAGAGGAACTGACATACGACATAAAACAAAGGCCCAGTTCAACCCTTATACAATAAGAGCATAAGCACAATTCGACCTTTACACACAAAGTGCAAATCACTGAAACATACCACTTTCACTCACAGAAGTGTTCTTCATTTACACACTAACATCTCTGATAATCCTGTGATTTATAGTAGAGCTCAGAAGGATCTAATCAGTCTTTAACAATGTGTTTCATTTGGTGAAAAGAAACATGTTGAGAAGAGATTACATGACTATGAAAATAGTGCTTGATTTTGACAGATGTTTTGCAGTGGGTGCAGGTTTGGAAAACAGATTCTAGGGGAATAAATTCAAGTGTGGCCAACTAGGGAAAAACTGATGTCCCAAAGAAAAACAAGCAAACCTTAAAAAAACATCAGTTTAAGCAAACTAAACAACATTTTATAGTGTAATTAAATCAAAATATTAAATGAAAAACTCTCGTATGTGGTTGCCAGTTAAATTTCGCATAGATTACAAAATTCTTTTACTGACATATAAAGCTCTAAACAGACTCGCCCCTCAGTACCTGAGTTAACTTCTCTCATGCTATGAACCAACACGCTTACTCAGATCAAAAGGTGCTGGCTTACTATTAGTACCTAGAATTAATAAAGTTACATCAGGGGGTAGAGCCTTCTCATACAAAGCCCTCCCAACTCAGGAATAATCTTCCAGTCAGTGTTCGGGACGCAGACACAGCCTCAGTCTTTAAGTCTAGGCTAAAAACTGACTTGTTTAGTCGAGCCTTTGGTAATTAGCTTTCCCTGTTAGATAAAAGGTGCAGATCTGGGGGTTCATGGATATAGAATATTATGGTAAACTGAGAGTGTTGGTGCTGTCGTCCCACTGCTTTCATGCGTTCACTCAAGTTTGCTGATGGTGAAGCGGAGGGACACTGACATCTCAGCCTTATCTCTCTGTTACCTTTCTGGTTTCTCCCTTTTAGTTAGGCTGTAATAACTAGACCTGCCAGAGTCTGTGCTGCACTCTGTTAATACTGTACTCTGTGATCAGTGACTCTTTACAGAATTAACACTCTGTGTGTTTTCCTTTCTTTGCCGAGTTGAACAACTCCGCATCCTGTGCGTCTGATGCTGTTGCTTCCTCTGCCTTGATCGGGTGCCCTCTGGACCGTTTTGACCATCACTGAGCTTCACGCTGCACAATGCTGTGCAAACCTCACCCTCATGAACTGACCCTCGTGATGATGCTGCTGCTGCTGCTGCATAAACTCAAACTATCTAATTAACCATTGCTCCACCTGTTTTTCCCTGTTTTGTATTCTAATATTTTATACTAATGCTGTTTGCTATCCGGTGTCGACCAGAGGAGGATGGGTTCTCCTTTTGAGTCTTGGGTTCCTCTCAAGGTTTCTTGCTCTTAGGGAGTTTTTCCTTGCTACTGTCACCATTGTCTTGCTCAAGGGGGCTTGAACCCGGATTTTTTGTGACAACACCTGTTGTAAAAAGCACTATATAAATGAACTTTGACTTTGACTTTGATCAGCAAAACACACACTTACACGCCACCACCACCATATCAGTGTCACTGCAGTGATGAGAATGATCTACCATCCAAATAATACCTGCTCTGTGGTGGTCCTGTGGTGGTCTTGACCAAAGAATGGGGTGTAAGGGGGCTAACAAAGTATGCAGAGAAACAGATAAACTACAGTCTGTAACTGTAGAACTACAAAGCAGGGGTCAACCAGTGATCAGCCCAACTGTTAATGGGAGTCGATATTCAACATTTTTACGATTACTGGAATTGGTACTTGAACTTGCTTCCTCGCAGATAACAGCTCTTTTTGTTATGTACGCGCATATCTGACCCAACTATGATCAAAAACATACTTCTGTAGTCTGGCTGAACGTCCGTCTCACAGCGTTACTGGATTGCTTGCAATGTGTATGACTCATCGAGTATAACCAACCAGCACTCCAGGGATGTGGGAATAGCTAAGTAGTACTTTTTGTACCTAACTACAAATTTTTGTAGCTAATAGCTATAGCCACTACAGTTTTATTAAATGTAGCTAATAGCTGTAGCACCTACAAATTTTTGTGTCGCTATAGCGATAATTTTTGCTACAATTTCGCTACAGGCTTCAGGCAATCCGCACAAAATCTGAACCATACAGCGCGGTCGTTAACTGGGCTGGTGGAGATTGTTTAATCCTGACTGAGCCGCGGACAATTCGAGCAAATGGTCACACGCTGGCCCCACGCTCTGATCACACCTTAATAGTAGACTTAGCTCAGGGGTCGACAACTGAAATGTTAAGAAGAGCCATTTTGTCCTTTCAACAAAAATTAAACCACCTTGGGAGCCACAACATTTTATGTCCATTGAACCATGTTGGCTGTAAGTATGTTTCAGTATGTGCTAATGTGCTAGTGTAGGCTAAAAGTATAAACGAAAATGCATATTTACTTTGCTTTGCTTTAGCTCAATTGTAGGCGCTTTTCTCACACCTCTGTCAGGAAACTTTTCCACAAAAGCGTTTCTTGTAAAATGTCTCTCAATGTTCGACTTTTTACAAGGCTGAAGTCGTTTCTAATTCTCCTACTTCTCATTTGAATTGTCTCGTTCTACTGTAAATGGTGCCTAGGACGACAGACTGTACTGCGCCATTTAAGGTGGAACGGGAAAGTTTGAACGAGAAGCTGGTGAAAGAGATGCTGCAGCCTCGTGACCTAGTGTTTGTCAGTTTCTCATTGCAGATTAAACGTATCAGGAAAACCAGCTGGAGTGCTTATGAATGCAGATAAGTCCGTTCATCTCCAAATTATTGATGTTCATCGTAAATCTTTCTCTTTGCCATTTCGTTAGCTACTAGCTAGGCAAGATTGTTATTATCTGTGTTGCTATGGTGACCAGCATTCTGTGCGTCAGTCTTCAGTGTTAAAGGTTGGTGAATTATTAGTTATGCGTTAACTCCAGCGTTTAAGATCATTTATTGTGAAAACTGTGCAAAGGAGGATTATGTTATTTTACCTAAAAATCGAGTTCTGCTGTGGAGCTGCAACAGCTCTGCAGCAGTGAAGAGATTATTCAGCTGTGCAGGCCTGATTCTCACCCCAAACAGAGCCAGGATCAATGATGATAATTCTGAGGCTAAGTGTTGCTGATGTTTAACAAACGACTATTACTGTCATGTCTGGATTTCCTGCTGAAATGTTTAAATTGGAGCAGTTTTATTTCAACAGTTGACAATGCTTCGCACTAAACTGTTTGGTTTGTATACAGTTATTTTTGTTCATTTTTGTTGGGAAAAACCTGGAATGATTGACTTTGCCTTTACTTAGTCTGAATTTTTGTCAGATTTCACGCCTTTGGTTGTGTAAATTTGATTGTTGGTTACACTTAAACTTACTTTTTGGAGATCTTTTTGTATATTTGCAGCTTTTCAATTGTATGTTTCTTTCTGGCTCACGACTAAATGCAGTGTCTTGTTCACACTTCCAGTTGGGCTTAGCTAGAAAGTAGTGCACTACTTTTCAAAAAGTAGCTAAAAAGTAGCCATTACTTTTTCTGGAAAAGCAGCTAATTGTAGCTAGCTACAAATTTTGGGAAAGTAGCTAAAAAGTAGCTAGCTACTAATTTTTCAGTAGCTAGCCCAACCCTGCCTGTCTCTATGCCTATGTAGGTAGAAGTGTGGACCATGTGTCATGGAGTGCAGACCTACAATGCTTTTTCAGTGGGTTCAACGCGTTCGGATTATGTGTATCTATAGCAGAGCATCAGTGGGTGGCCAACTACGCAGACAAACAGTAAATTATTTGTAAAATCATAACTTTTTACGTTATACACAATTTCTGGTCATTTTCATCTCTATTTTGGCTTGTTAAAAGTACAGACGGCTGCAGCTTGCTACTTTTATCACTCTGCTTAGGCTAAATAGCCCGTTTCCATCAAATCATGCAGCAATTTTTTAAAAGCCAACCAGAATACATCTCATATATTCTAAACGTCCAATTACTGCTTGTTATCACGTGAAATAAATTTTTGATTCAACAATAAAATGAAATAAACATGCTAACAGTCATGTATCCCCACTGTTGCTTTATTATTGCATGATGTGTGCCCTTTCAACAATGTCAGTGACTCATACTACATATTTGTCTTATATAGAAATTCTGTACATGTAATATATTTGTATAATTTTTTGAATTTCAAGTTTGAATTTTAAGCAACCTTTTTGAGGTCAGTTTTTCATACAAATGCCATTGACGATTAAACGTCATTCAGAGCTATTTGTTTGTATTTATTGTCTTCTTTTTAAAGATAACTTCAAAATGTTTATGTTACTATTTTTGCAAAGTATACTGTTTAAAGCTCAATACACTTTATTTTTATAATGTTCTAATTCACTTGGTGTAAGTTGTGTATAAGAGTTGCATTCTTGTAAATTTTCACACTACAAACATCAAATTTATGGTAAATGAATATCAGCTCCAAATATTGGTTATCAGAGTCTGTGATTACTAATAATCGGCATCGGTATTGGGCCTGAAAAAAATCATATCAGTCTACCCCACTACAAAGTGCTCCTATACGGTAAGTGAGGCTGATAAAATGAACAAAGAATGTAGATGCAAGGAGATGTGCTCAATGAAGTAGTCGGTCAGTGTAATGGCGTTTTATCTCAGAGATTAAGTTAATAAGAAAGAAAGTGACAAATATACTCAAGGTTTAAATCTTGTAAAACGAAATGAAAATTACCAAAAGAATGAGAAATAAGCAGTACCTTGATATGTTTGACTCCACAGCTCACCAGCTTGCTCTGCTGATATAGGTCCCAAGATATGTCGAATATCTTTAGAAAAGAATAAATGAACAAGAAACAGTTAGATGTGATAACAGAATTATTATGTTTAAAACCATCAGCGTATACCTGGGACCATTATTTGGGATGCATAATAACAATAGATTAAAATTCTATGCTAATTTGATATGAACATGAAAAATTATCTCCATAAACAAGTATCCAAAATCTTTGTCTATGAGTGTGAGTGCATGTGTGTATGCATATATAGACAGAAAGTAAGATTATGCTGAGAATACAATTAGCTGTGCAGTGCTGTTCACGCCCAGTACATCACCAGAAATTCATTTCATAAATGCAATCTCAGACGATGCCATCTTGGACTCAGACACTTAATCAGCACTAACTGGTTTATGACTGTCTTTGTGGCTGTAACGTATGAGAAATGACCCATGGGATGCATCTAGTGAAACGACAGTGGACATATTGCTTTGTCTGTACTGTGTGTGTGTGTATGTGTGTGTGTGTGTGTGTGTGTGTGTGTGTGTGTGTCCTTACCCTGTCTGTATGACCAGGAGCAGCAGCCAGCACTTTCCCTCTCCTCCAGTCCCACACGCAGATTGTGTTCTTGGAGTCGAGGCCCACAGACACCAAACACTGCAAGCCATAATAGATAAACACAGATCAATATACCCATGTATCCTCTATAAACAGCTGCACCTTTGACGAACATTTTGATACATTTCAGCGCTGTACCTCCACTCCATCAACTCTGCTGTGTTTATTTCCAACTCAGACACAGACAGGCCCCCATTACATAAGTCAGTGTGCTGAGGTTTCCTTCCAGAACGGCTCCATGCTGAATCAGTACAAAGTGAGGTGCCTTTAGTAAACTAACTCATGTAATGCCTTTGATACATTTATAAAGTGGAGATTGGCTAGAGGCACTTAGGGCTTAAGAGACAGCATCTCTCCCACTCCCTCTGCTTTTCCATCTGTCTAGGTAAAAAAAAAAAAGCTGATAGCAATTTCCTCTTCCTGCTCTTCACAGTCACCGCCTCCCTAACATCGCTCTGCTGGGGGTGACCAGCCCCCCTGGAGAAAGCGGGGGGTTATTCTCTCCCATAAAACCACAGCTAGCCATGAAATATTGATCTCAGAAATGGGATTTTTCTCCTGTGAGCAGTAAGGCAACTACGAGAGAATACATACCGAGTTTGTATGGATCCCTGTGGGCATTTAAGCACAGACATCACTCTGCTGTTCATTGTTAGGTAGAAACATTTTGGCTTGATCGAATATCCACCTCATAACCTACTTTTGACGTGCGATGTGTAAGATTCAATATCACAGAGAAGTATCACAATGAAAAGGTCTCCCTTCTATTAAATGGGGATGAGGATGGGGTAGACTAAAGTACTGAACATTTCATATCAGGAGAGTAATGGTAATCTGAGAGACCCACAGCTTCTCTTATTATTGATTTGCCTATAAAACACTTGCTCTGTGTCTATGGATAAGCAGAAAGTGCTACAATTATTGAATGCAGGGACTCCCAAGTGGCACAAATGGCTATGGAGGTTGCATCCTATCAACTGTTATCTGAAACTGATTCCTTGTGCCGCCGTCTATTAGTAACTCTTTCTCTGAAACACTGTAGGCAGCTTTATATTAAGAGTGGAAGCTAGGAAGCTACCGATCCAACTTTATGGATTCCAATGACTGAAATGAGGGTATTAACAAATACTGAGTATTATTATCATACTCATGTTTCACAGTAGCAAAGCACATAAAATAAATACAAAGATTCTTTTAAGAACTTTCAAACTTTTAATATTATAGTGTTCTAGAAGGTTTATAGAATTGCTCTGTTACAACTTTATGACCATGACTAATAGTACAAATACGGACATATCAGATCCATGCAGCACTAGTGCAAGCATCTAAAACCCAGAGCTTGGTGGCTATCATATGACAGAGGATATCTAGATTATGGAATAGAAGTTTGTAATGACTAACACTGAAGAGTAAAGCAAAAAAAGAAAAAAAAATCTAAAAATAATTTAAACCCTTTAAATAGCTTGAGCCCATATATGTGCCCTCACTTTCATTCCCTGATACTCAAAACTACAAAACATAGACATTAGTTTCACAGTAGTTACTGAAGAATATATAATGCTGAATAATATGTGTTACGATTATGGGTTGAACAATACGGCAGCAGTTTATTTTCAAAAAATGTCAGGAAAATAGAAAAGTAAGCCATGAATAGTTAAAATACAATCCACAAATGACATACCACTTTTAACTATAAACCACAGTTCCTTAAACATTGGTGCAGGTGAAATGCCAATAAAAAAAGAAATCAGTGATTAGTAAATTCTCTTTGTATTAAAGAGTATACATTTTTTAAAGAGTATAAACTTTACCCCACAAATTTTATATATATATATATATATATATATATATATATATATATATATACATATATATATATATATATATATATATTCAGATACTATTGCAGATGAGCATGTTTACCACTGTGTTACATCACACTGGGGGCTAAGGCACCAGTTTTGAGAGTGTTTTGCCATTTTTCCATTCAAATTTTTTAGCTGCACAAGCATATAGGGCCTTTGTTGTCATACTTTGCACTTCATAATTCACCACACATTTTCTGTGGGAGACAAGTTGTAGACTGCAGGCAAGCCAGTCTAGAATCTGCACTCTCTGATTCTGCAGCCATGCTGTTGTAACACATGCAGAATGTGGCTTTGTGTTGTGATGCTGAAATAAGCATGGACTTTCCAGAAAAAAATGTCATCTAGAAGGCAGCTTACAGTTAGGTTCATAAATACTGAATTGGATTGAGGTCAGGTGATTTACATACAGTTAGGTTCATAAATGCTTAATTGGATTGAGGTCAGGTGATTTACTTGGCCAGTGCATTCCACTTCTTTGCCTTAAAAAAAAGTCTTGGGTTGTTTTTGCAGTATGCTTTGGGTCACTGTCCATTTGCACTGTGAAGTTCAAGTTTTGAAGCATCTGGCTAAATCTGATGGCTTGCTTCACTGGCAGTGAGAGTTCTTGGAATTCATACTGAGAGTTAACAGCAACAGATTCCAAATGCAAATGCAGATGCCACACCTGAAATCAACTCTAGACCTTTTATCTTTTCCTTTAAATAATGAGGGAATAACACACACCTGGCCATGGAACAGCTGAGCAGTCAACTGTCCAATTACATTTGAGCCCCTAAAAATTATAACCACAAAAATTGGCTGTAATTCCTACACATTCATCCGATTTGGACGTAAATACCCTCGAATTAAAGCTGACAATCTGCAATTTGAGCTTGTAATTATTATTTAATTTCAACTTCAATACGCTGTGGTAGGCAGCTAAAATAAGAATAAATTTGGTATTGTCCAAATATTTATGGACATGACTGTCTGTTGCTCTAAGATGTGTATACATATCTTTCAGCATTAATGGTGGCTTGACATGGGCACAAATACACCCCCATACTATGACAGACCCTGCTTTTTAAACTTCAACCTGGTAACAATCTGGATGGTCCTTTCCTTCTTTGGTCCAGAGAACACAGCATCCATTATTTCCATTAACAATCTGGAAGATTTACTCTTCAGACCACAATATTTCAAATGAGCCTGAGCGAAGAGAAATTGGCGGCGTTTCTGGATGTTGCTGACATTTGGCTTAAGCTGTATTTGTGGATGCAGTGACAAACAGTGTTTATCAACAACAGTTTGTCAAAGTACTTCCAAGCCCATGTAGTGATAGCCATCACAGAAGCACACCAGTTTTTAATGCTGTGCATTCTGAGGAATTGAAGGGCACGGACATTCAGCTGTGGTTTTTGGCCTTGCCCTTTACATAAAGAGATTTATCCAGATTCCCTGAGTCTTTTGATACTATGCATCGTACAGGGCAAAATACCTGAATTCCTTGTAGTTGCTTGGTGTGGAATGTTGTTCTCAAACAGTTGGATTAATCGATGAGCCTCCATGTATTCTTGCTCATAAAGTACTGCACCTTTCTTATACCCAAGCAGGACTGAATCACACATTTAAGATGTTTTTTGAACACTCACAACATTTATAGTCCAAAATTGCCACTGTCCCAACTTTCTGGAATGTGTTGCAGGCATCAATTTCATTTCAGTATATTAAAAAATTGGTAAAACATTAAATATCTTGCCTTTGTTTAATTACAGGTTAAAGAGGATTTACAATTCACGTCACTGTCTGTTTTTATTTTCTTGTCACATGCTTTCACAACTTTTTTGGAAGGTTTGCAGATGTGCCAAGCCTGAAGAAGGTGGAAAAATTGGCACTTTTGGCCACTGTTCATCACCGTCACCTGTTTACTTGACTCAAATGTAGCTCCTTGAAGGATAGTGCTAGTTTTCAGTGCATGTGCAGGGGATTTAAAGTGTTGAGCCACTGTCTGCTTCAGACTGTCAAAGGATGGAGGAGATCCAAGCTGACTCTCTCTCTCTCTCTCTCTCTCTCACACACACACACACACACACACGCATAAACTCCCTCTCTCTCGCTCTCTTTCTCACTGTCAGTCAGCCTGTCAGAGTTACACTAGTCAAGTGCTCACAGATGTGACACTTGAGAGAGCTGTGTGATTAGCCTGACAGCAGTTTCCCACTGACACTCAGAGTAAATAACTATGGAAAGGAATGTCGCTGTGCAAGTTTTAATCTCATGCATGCAAGTCCCATCACTTTATGGCCCTTAACTGGGCAGTATGATGAAAGATTATTTTTAAAAGCTTGAGTTTAAACCCAAACCCAACTATATAACAGCACTGTTCTCATGCATTGAATAATTTTGCACATGTTCAAATGAGTGGCTAGTGCTTACCTGTCCATCAAGGTCAAAAGCGAGACATGCGATGCCGTGCGTGTGCATGTCCTTCAGGATGGACACGGTCTGAACGGTGTAGGAGTCCCACACACAGATATACGGCTCCTTCCCCACCTGCCCTGTGGCCACCAACACTCGCTCTGGATGCAGGGCTAAACTGTGCACAGATATAGAGAAGGTGAAAAATAATGAAGGGACGACCCATAGAAAAATATACTACATTGACAAAATATTACTATGCATTCTACTGACATTCACAATATATTCCAATTTACCTGTGGGTATCCACCATTTACATGTGAAATAGCTCCTCTGTATTATTTCATCAGTTTTTGACATTTCCTTATTATATTTTATTCTGTGTAAGTGTAAGGCATGCAACAAACTACTGACTTCTATCCGATTTGTAACAGCTAGTATAAAATTGAAACGGACAAGCAGGAGAAAGGAAGATGAGCATTTGGTTGTTATCATTTCCCACCATCCTATGTGAAAGTGAGAGGAAGGCTTTAAGATATCAGACAGCAGAGATAATCAGGATGAGATGCTATCTGCAACTTAAGACTCATCCACACAGCAAAGTAAATTGAGGCTTCAATCAGGACAGCTAGAGTAATGCTTGGCAAGGAAAGGAAAAAAACAGAGACTGATACAGGAAGAATAAGAGGCAACTCGAATCAATTCTAGTCTGCTTATTCATTCCTTATACATCTCATAGAGCCTTGTATATGGTGCATCAGGCCTCATGATCATTAAACAGTGGAATGAACAGGAGTTGGGGAAAAGCAGGTCATTATAAATTATGAGGGTCCACCACCCCACTGGTCCGGCATGTTCATTGAGGCTTGCATTCAAATGCAGGGGGGGAAACCCTGGGGGCAGCCAAATGTTGCATAACATCTGTCCATCCCTATCAGGCTCTCCTCCTTAGCCTAACCCTCAAATAGCTTCTCTTTAAGAGGACAGCACGAAGGCATAGCCTAATGAACAGTTACTTGATTTGCTTCCAAGTGTATATGAAGAGTTTGACTGTAAAATGTTGTATATTCATTTGTACCAGTATTGGATTTACAAGTTTTTCAAAAGAAAAAAAGTTGCAAGTATAATGGAAAACATTTTTATTTCTCTGATAAAAGTGGTATTCATCACTATGTAACATTGATATTTCTTGTGTAAAGCCCACTCCCAACAACATATATGAGGAAAAAAGAAAAATCTTGAAAGTGGTCTATAATGCGTTTTGGAACAAAATCCTTAATAGAATTTGATTATAAATATACATACACCTGCCATAAAAAATTTGGGCCACCTTGCCTTATTTTGAAATGTTCAGGCTAATGTTTAATGTCTGTTACTGCTAATTTTCCATTATGTAATGCAAACACCAGCATAGATTTTGTTAGCATACAATAAGCTATGCCCTAATACTTACAGTGCCCTCCACAAATATTGGCACCCCTGGTAATCAGGAGCAAAATGAGCTGTAAAAAATATTCTTAATTACTCATCTTTCTTTCAAACTATTGGCAAAAACCTAACATTTATTTAAGGAAAAATGATGTGTGAATGTTTATGTCTGTGTGTCTGCCGGGCGATGGACTGGTGACCTGTCCAGGGTGTATCCTGCCTTCCACTTAATGACCGCTGAGATAAGCTCCAGCCCCACCCCGCAACCCAGAAGACTAAGTGGTTTAGAAAACGTGTGTGTGTGTGTGATTGGAAGAAAAAAGTCTTATCTTGAAATAAATTTTTTTTTTAAATCTATGTGTGCCACAACTGTTGGCACCCCTAGAAATACTTAAGAGTGAAGTCTAACATAAGCATATTCTCATTCATGTTAAGTTGACCTGAGCGATTAGGAAAACTTAAAGCAGTGTTATGTGAGAATTGGATATTTTTTTCTCTTGGACTAACCCTGCAGCTGCAGACTATATTTCACTTTTACACCGCTGTGGTAAATACAAATCACACTGTAAACCTCCCTCATGTGCACGTGCCCTTTGTTGACAAGCTGAAGGATACAGAATCCAACTCATGCATGAGTAGCTAAACAGTTGAAAATGCCCATTTCCACTATCAGGGCAATAATTAAAAAGTTCAAAACAACTCGAGATAAGAATCTGCCGGGAAGAGGGCATATGTATATACTGAACCCACGCACAGTGGGGAGGGGATGGTTTGATTAGACAAAAAATCTCCAAGATCCGCAGATGGGATATTGCAGACATTAGTTAGGTCTTGGTTTCTGAACGTCTCCGAAACCACAATCAAATGCCACATATGTAACCACTCATTGTCAGAAGAAAGCCTTTGCTGTCAAAGACCAACAAAATCAAGCTCCTATCGTTTGCCAAACATTACTGGAACTTTCAGTGGGACCGTGTTCTACTGTCTTTTTAGCAACAAACACCAGAGGTGAGTTTGGTGTACCAAAGACAGCCATGCAAAAAATTACCTCATCCCCACTGTGAAGCATGGTGGTGGATCTGTGATACTGTGGGTCTGTTTTTCCTCCAAAGGCACTGGACAATTTATTCAGATACATGGCATCACAGACTCCATTAAGTAAAGTACCATTAAAAATAAAATCAAAACCTAACTGCCTCAGCCAGGAAGCCTAATCTGGGCCATAGTTTGGATCTTCCAGCAGGACTTCCAGCTTCCATGACACAAAGAGTAGCTGTAGTCCAAGTAATGATAGTTATTTCTTTGTTAAAACGTGAAAATCGTTTGGCCCAAAGGTGTTTTAAACATTTGATAGGTTTAAGTGCTGACACCAAAGTTATAAAATAATGATAGCAAGATGACAACAAGGCTATTAAATATTAGGTATGGCATTATTCCAGAGACAGCTCCATCTTAAATACCATCACAAATATTTACACTTGTGATACTGAATTGCTCAATAGAAACCATATTTATTTCTAACTTGTTATTGAAAACTGGCAAAGAAACATGTTTTATGTGTATTTGAAACATTTGCTAGGCAGTGTATATTCACACGGAATAATAATGGAAGCATAAGAACATCTTAGAGAACTACACTGTGATCTCATAGTACAGCTAAAATGGTTTAATTATGGTCAATCACTTGTGAGGACTGTTCAAAAGATTATGAGAACACTCGCTCACTGAAGAAAGCTCAAACATGCCATTTGCCGGTCTCTACTGCACTTGTCCCACTCTATTTCCATGTAGAGTTAGTATGTGCTCTCTAAGAGTGCTCCTGCTTCTACAGTCTAAGCTCTCAGACAAGCACGCCAGGCTAATTCTATTCAGCGTTGAGGAGGAGTTGGACTGCTTGAAATCGCTAAGTGAGTTGGACCATTGCAGAGGATCACTGAGCTCCTGCCTTATCACTCTCTCTCTCTGCTTCTTATTCAGCTAAAGGTTTAAAGCAATTATGGTTCAAATTATGTGAAGCCATTATGATTCAAACTATGGGAGCAATATTCTCATTGATTACATCATTTAGCTGCCTTATCTTCCAAATCTAAGCATTTCACTTCATTTCTAGCTTTTAAATGCAGCTCTTCTTGCCTGTTATTCTTTTATGGGCTGTCAGTTTGAAAATTGTAACACACCCCCTCAGTTCTTTTTCCCCAATGTTTCAGTGAACTATTACTTTATTTTAAAATCACTGATTGCTGCTTTAAAACAGTCCTTGTATGAATGTTCTTTTTGCCCACTTCTTTTTACAGGATATTCTAATATTTTAAGTGAGCAGGTTTAACAGAAGCTGAATCCTGGCTCGTGTGTAATGACCTGCCCTGCGCATCAATGCAGAGAAAACACCTCGAAGGCAATCACCATTCTTCACCCTACTCTCAACGAAATACATAATCCGTAACTAAAAATAGAGCAAAGGCATCATGCTTGTGGGCACTGGCACAATTTCCAACCATCTGTATCCATCTTTGTCCTTTCTCATTGTCTATTGTGATAGAGATGATGAGTTAAGGAGCAGAGTCACAAGGGTCCTGCTATTTTCTTCCTCTATTTTCATCTTCTGCAAAGAGAGATATTGCTGTGGCGTACAAGTCTATGAATTCAAGCAAAGATACACTGTAATATATCTAGACAGCACTTGTCAAGGCCTCACATCAGTAAAATGAGAATTAAACCCCTAGAGTAGGGGTGGGCGGTATGGCAAAAAATCTAACATCACAATACTGCAAAATAGGCCTGTGCCTGGTGATGATTAACCAAGTTACCGTGGTAACAGTCCCCAGTGACAGTAAAAAATGCTCATTTACTGATTTACTTCATGCAAACCACAGCAAGCCAGTATTACCACAGATGAACACAACTGGACTTTCAGACATGTTGAGTTTTATGATCTACATTAATACTCTCACCATAAAATCTCACCTATGCATACTTATAGATGAGACCACTCTAGAAGCTGCACTGATTAGATGTGCTCTGTTCTGCAGGTAGATAGTATGCCTGTACAAAAAGTAATTTATGTTAAAGTGTACATTTTAGGACATCTTCTGACCACAGTGCCAGGTTTCACACATCACAAAAATTGACTTCACGTCTCAAGACACGAGTGAAAACATGTCTCCGCTCTCATACATCATGCGAAAAGGGTCATTTCAAATGGCCTCATGCAAAATTGCTTTGGAAAACAAGGCTCCAGGATAAGCAGCCACAAACTCTAAGATGGTAAAGTTTGGATGACACACAATTCTGTTTTCTTTTTTTTTTACTAGATTATTTACAAAGATTACAGTACACTATGATCACAATGCTACTGAACTGTGCTTTATTATGTCCTTTTATTTTAAAGATTAAGCTTCAACTCACACGCTATCATTGTGCTTGCTCCCACGGCCACTTCAGTGTAAGGGGCTTACTGTGACGTAATTATCAAAATAACCATAAATATAATCATATTGCCCAGCCCTACATAGGCCACATGTAGAACAGAAAGGAACAACAAGCATTTAGCTTTAGTTAAGGCTGCCACTATCAATTATAATAGAAATCAGCGTTTAAAAAAAAACAGCCAAAAGATAAAAATGGCCTGAACAATAACAAGTCTTGCATACCATTTCAAACAGTCCAAAACACTACACAGAAAAAAGATGAAGATGAAAATTAAGAAAGACTCCATCAAAAATTGTATAAAAAACACTTGGCAAAAAAACG